TCCCCCACCCTGTGGGGAACAAAGAGGAAGCAATGAGGAAGGGGACGACTGACTCCAAATTTGGGAAATATTCCTATAATGGCCTCTTGCCCTGATGGATTTCTTAACCTGTAATATTCAGCACCTATCTCCACGCACATTCCTCCCCAGGTCTGCAAATAACACAGATACGGTAGATTTAGATAACATTTGATTAGTCATCGAATTAGTTAGACATCTGATTAATTAGACAAAATTTGAAAGAAAAAATATTAAACTGTGCAGTTGAATGTTATCCAGAAGCAGGGAAAGGCACACAGCCAAATTCCTCCAGCTCTTTGTATTGTCACATAGCGTTGCTTGGATATCAGCTTATCAACAGACTGAGTTTCCACTGCCACCACCACATAAATGAAGAGCCCTTGCAAGAAAGCTGCACTGAATATGAATGCCAGCTTTTTAAAAGTTGGGAGTACAACACAGGGTAAGTTCCTTTTAAGCAAATCTGTCTCTTTGTTTCTGATATGTTATTTTGTAGATTTTTTTTTTTTCTGCCTGAATAGCCTAAGTGTTTTAATCAAACTTTATCAGGTATAGACCACTTGAATAGGTAAGATGGATTTCTTCAGCAATAGCCCAAGAAAAGCATACATGAATTGTTGCCACCAGAAAGAACATCAGTCATTTCCTTATGCTATTTGAGGAGAGAGGAAATCTTTCTGGCTTTGAAGAGTATTTATACTCTGCTCTACAGAGCTGGAAAACGGGAGGAGAGATATGGAGATGATTTGAGTACAGGATAGAGAATAGGCTTCAATTACAGAGAATACTAAAAGAGTATATCTTGCCTGGTATGGTTTCTGGAGTGTACATTGAAGGAAAGCCGTATTAAATAAAATATTCATAGTTTAATTTATAAGTTTATATAGTGGAAACAGTACACACAGACATGTTGACTGATGTTTTCCTAAGACATTTTTCCTCTGGACGATCTGAGCCCCAGATGTGTGAACTCAGAAGCAGAGTCTTCACGCATATTAAAATACATCTTAAGCAGGTGTCTGTGCATGTGTGTGTGATGTGAGCTCAGTGGATCAAACAACCCAATGCGGTAGGCATTGTAACTGCCGTCATAAAGATGAGAGGACTGAGGCTAACAGAAGGGAACAAACTCAAGTCTGTCCAGTTCTAAAGGCCACGCAGTCTCTATTATAGTTTCTTTTCTTCAGTTAGCATGTGGTACAGGTATGGATAGTAATCCGATCTGTTTATAGGATCTGTTACTATGTTTGATTTATGGTGTTCTTACCTCCTATCATTCAGTCATTCACAAGGCGAAGAAGTAAGCAGACAGGAAAGTACTCAGGGTTTCCACTCTGTGCCTTGGCAACCCATTCCCATATGTCTATTCTTCCTGGATTGTTAAACTCTTATTATTATACACACTTCAGACTCTGAATCCTAAATCACCAGGAAAGGAGACTTAATGATAGCAAGTGTGACTCCTTCATTCTGCGTCTTTGTCAGGCAAGTAGAAACATGACAGGTTTAATAGTTTATTTTATAGTACAATGCTATAAAATTGCAGATCTAAATGTGCAAGAAATGGAGAACTATGTAGAGATATACTACACTGCCACTAAAAATCCTATTTTTAAGGAATATTTAATGATCTTGGAAAGTGCACAACACACGTGTATATCATGATCTCCCTTTTTTCTAAAATCACACACAATGTGCACAGAAAAAATAAATAAATAAAAAGAAATCAAT